ATGGGCAAAAGGAGAAACGGATACTAGAAAGATGGGCCGGGAGGGACAGGCCCATCTTATTTAAAAATAAGGCCTTTTTTGAGAAAACATAAGCACTATTCCAATTATGCCATTTAAGAAGATATTAAGGATAGAGATAAGTATTCTTTATCTTCGGCCAGGACTTAATTCTGTGTCAGTTCCAATCATGAATTTAAGGAATTTAAGATATGATCCTTACATTTTCAACCTCTAATATCTCCTGTCTAAAAGAAAAAAATTTAATGTTTTCCCTCAAAGATAAAAATAAATGAAAACTCTAAAGTTTAGACTTTAGTAAAAGTTAATTAAACATTTGATCTATTAAAATATATTATATACAAATCTTAGAGCTCAAAACATTTTTAATTTCTTAAATTAAAAATTTAAGAATGTACAAAAAAATTTTAAATGTACAAATAATTGTACATTTAAATTTCAATCATTTTGTTTCAGAGTTTACACATTTGAACCTCATGGACTACTCTCTTCCCCTAACTCGTGTTTTTGTCTGATGATTATTTTACTCCTGACCTCATCTAACCTAAGATGTTTAATTTCCATGAATCTCTGGCAAGCATATCCCACATCCTTCTGTTACATCTGCCCTGAAATCCCCAAGCAGAGCGTGAATCCGGTTGTCTACCTTCCCCACTCCCACACTCAGGCCACTGAGCCCTGTGGAATGAAGTCCTTCAGGCCCAGCTGGTCAATGTGGCGCCCCTCCATGCATGGTTTCCAGACTCAGCTGGACTCTCAATGCCAAATCTAGCTGTACATATGACTTTTTCTCTGTTTCCTCTGTCTTACATTGTAGAAACCTTTGCAAAATGTAGCAGTGTCTTCATGATAGTTTAGAAACTGATGCCTTTGCTGGAAGTCATTTAAATTTTTGGAGAGAAATGTACATTTTTCTAGTTTCTGTCTCTAGAATCCTGTTCATGCATTTTCATAGAGACTTATGAATTCATAATTGAAAATGCTTTCTTATCTCTAGTTTTATAGGCAATGTTTGTGACTCTTCAGCAGGTCTACTCATGTTTGGTGACTCTGCTCTTATCTTTTTCATCTCTTGGATTTTGTTCAGTCACCAACTCAACATTGATCCTTCCTTTCAACTGGCTCATTCTATATATATAATAAGAATATTAAGTCTCATAAATTTGGAAACAAATAAACCAACAAATAATTCCCTTCAACTGCTTTTTCTGCTCAAAGAAAACTTTTCATTCCTGGTCTTAGGGAAAAAGAGAAATAAGTAACTCCTACCTCTATTACATTACTCTCTCTAAGTGATCCTTAAATGTAATGTAGTTTAGATTTTATGCCTGTAAATCCAGTCAGTATCCGTGGTAGTTACATAATCTGTCAGTTTGTGAAGGGGTGGAGCCTAGCCTGTCAATCAGGTCATAGCCAATGAGGCCTCTGTGTGGGCATGGCCTTCTTTTGAGGATTCTGGGAACTCCTATCTTCTTCCCTGAACTTGGGACTCCCACTCTCTGCTACACATTCCTGTTGACAGCCAACTTGAGCTATCCTGATGACAGCCAGACTCTTTGAGCTGGAGGAGCCACATGGAGACCTCTGCCAGTGCTGAGATGCTTCCCCCACCACTGTATCCACAAGACTTTCCATTCACTGGCCTGTGATTTTACTGCATTCGGCATCATTGCATGTGTTGCTTGAGTCTTAAGAGGAATTTATACACTGGTATGAGACTTATGGGCTAATATCAGATTTTCGGACTTGATCTGGACTGGGCTGGGATGTTTTCTCAATATACAATTGCTCTTCTTTATAAAGCTCTTTCTTAAACACATATGAGTGTCTATGAACTTGTTTCTCTAGTCCACCTGGATGAACAAAGTATCATTATGTATCTCGTGATTTACTTGAACTCTCTTGGAAGCAGTTAGGTCCTTCTTAAAATCTGTTGCTATCTCTGGTGACGTCAAGCACAGAAACTTTCCTACCTCTGTGACTTTCCTGTTTGTTTGTTTTTCCCTGGCTGCATATGGAATTTCTGTATGCCGACACCATAACCTTGCTTGCTGAAGGTGAGAAGGACCTGAAGCACTTGCTAATGAAGATCCAGGATTGTAGCCTTCAGTATGGATTGCAACTCATGTAAAGAAAACTAAAATCCTCACAACTAGACCATTATGTAACACCTTGAAAAGATTGAAGTTGTCAATGGTTCCATCTTGTTTGGATCCACAATATATGCTCTTGGAAACAGCAATCAGGAGCTCAAAGAATGCATTGCATTGGGTAAATCTGTAGTACAAGACCTCTTTAAGTGTGAAAAGCAAGTATGTTACTTTGAGAACTAAGGTGTACCTGACCCAAGCCATGGTATTTTCAATCACCTCGTAAGCATGTGAAAGTTGGACATTAAATAAGGAAGATAAAAGACTAATTGATGCATTTGGTTTACAGTGTTGACAAATCATATTGGAAGTATCATGGATTGTCAAAAGAATAAGCAAATAGGTCTTGGAAGAAGTACAGCCAAAATGCTCCTTGAATGAAAGGATGGTGAGATTTGATCTGATATACTTTGGACATGTTATCAGGAGAGACCAATCCCCAGAGAAGGAAATTATACTTGGGAAAGAAGCAAGGGAATGAAGAATAGGAAGACCTTTGAGAAGATGGATTGACACAGTGGCTGTAAAAATGAGCTTGCGCATAAGAAGAATTGGATCATGGTGGAGGCCTCCGGAGTGTTTCCGGGTTACGATGAGTCAGCACCTGACCCTATGGCAGCTAGCAGCAACCACGACCATGCATTTTCCATTGCGGACATAGCCATCTGTTCATGTATCATTGATATTTGCATGGCACTGAAGTATGCAAGTTAAACTCAGACTGCTTCGTAATCCCAGACATACACTTCCAACAGTTTACTTGACATCTTCCCTGGGAAAATCCTCAAGGATCCAAAGGCAACATTACCAACATTGAATATACAATTTACTCTTCCAAATGCCCTCTGCCTCCTATCTTTGTGAATGTATCAACTAAAACGCAATCATCCGAGTCAGAAGTCAGGATGTGTTCTGATATTCCTCTCTTCCCTTTACAACACCCAAATCCATAATCTCTACCTATCCTGACTCCTTAGCCCCATGGGCAATGCTTTTGTTAAATGATCATCATTTTTCACATTGTTGTGATGTTCAATATTTCACAGACTCCCAGGGGTCGGTCCAAGCCCCCATGTCCAAATCTTTTGCCTTATCACTTTCTACAGCAATATTGCTCACTTGGTGAAAAGAATGAAAATCTATTAAGCTTCTATCTATTAGCTGAAAGGCCACCTTTAGTTTTGGTCTCATTTTCTATTCCTACATTTATGAGGGGTGATGAAAAGGCCATGGAAATAAAAGATATGCAGGTCTAGGCATTCTCTATGAGCCTATATGTGAACTGTCTTATGATGGTAAAAATCGCTTCAGATATGTTGTGTGGTTTCCGCACTTTGAGGAATTATCATGAGCTGTAAACATGCTCTCTTTCCAAATAAAACTATTTATTAAGCAAAAAAGGTAAATTGCTTTTTATTCACCTAATATCTCAGAGCAAAGTAAAAAAAAACCCCTTGAATTAAAGTACTTAAGTTATAGGCCACATATGAGTCCCAAGTATTCTTGTTCATTTTTATTAGAATTGTTTAAATAAATACGTGAAAATACAATAACAACATCACAAATCTTGTAGAACTGAAAATAACAGCTAGATTTCCAATGATTTTTCTCTTCACCTTTGATTGTAGAAAATTGAAGCCTAAAAGAAGTTTAAGAGCTTCTGAGTATCACTCACTATGTCTGTGGTGGAAACCAAGCTTTTACGGGCTTCTAGTGAATGAGAGCCAATCCTTTGTTCACTGCTAATCCAATCTGTTGTTTAACAATCCGTTTATGGATTATAAAGTCTCCTACTTGTCATGATGGTTGAATTATTTCATGGTTTACAAATACAAACTCGAAGAGTTTATGTAAATGATAAATGTCCAGCTCATATACTAATTAAAAAGACAATCATTAGAATGAGCGTTATTCTTATTTCATTGAAACCTTGAAATAAATTAGGCCCCAAAAATGTAATATTCAGAATCAAGGCTTTAAAATATGGAGTTTTAAGAAATGTGAACAGAAAAAAAAAAAAAAGAAATGTGAACAGTGCAAATGCAGAAAGTGGAAGTCAGAAACTCTTTTTATTTTTCTTCGGATGTTTAGTTTTTCATTTAATAAAATGTTTCCTCCCAACTTGAAACCACTCTCAGAGATCAAAGTCAGTGGGGGAACACACCAGATTGTGTGTGCTGGTTGATTCTAACAAGCTCCGTGCTCTAAAGTGAAGTGACTTTTCCATGCAGCGGTGCTCTGGCCTGCAGGAAAACATCGACCTTTCAAGTCGGTTTCTAGGGTGGTGCCGTGACCAGCACCATCCTTAATCTCTGTTTGTTTAAAGACGTTAGAAGATACGGCTTCCTCAACCAACCCTGTGCACACATTTAAAAGGGAAGATATATTCTCTACTATTCTATTCAGTCACTTTATGTTATTATAATTTCATTTTATTATAAAAAAAAAAACACCAGGTAGTATAATAGCGTAAGAGAACTGTTGTGGTATAAAGTTACTTTCTTTTGAAGAAAACCAGTATTTATGTGAATATTGAGAACCTCTATACACATCACCCTTTTCAAGATTAAGAATGTAGCACACCAACTATAATATTTTAACTAGACAATATTAAATGCAAAATAGAAGCCTGGTGGACTTACCTCCAACACGGCTATACCTTCATCACTGTGTGGAAAATTAATGTTGCCAAGTCAAACTTGGCAATAAAATAGACATAATAAAATATATTTACTGAAGAAATATATGTATACTCAGATGTTGAAACATTAACACCAGTATATCTTTATGTGGCTATATCATATATACACTCATTTTTTTTCAATCTTTCAGATTTTCTACTGTCCCCTGGCTCTCTTCATTCCTCCTTCAGTATATGCTGTTCATCTTCAGTTCAATCTCCTTTATCAATTTTGGATCCACACAGAGGTAAATGGATTTTTTTTTCAGTTTTATACCTAAATAGCCTGAATCAGTGTCCTGGAAATCTACTAGCAGCAGCTGATTTATTGTGTAAGAAAAATCTTGTCTGCCTTCTATAAGGAGAAACATCTGTTCATTTTTATTCCTTTTTACTGAATATATATTGCAAAGTTTACAAGAAGCAATGAGGCCAGTTGGTCTCAATTAAATAAAACAATTTTTGAACTATTAAGTACCAAAACATTTTAATATTATATTTAATACAATATTTTCCTGTATTGCAGTTTATTAAACATTGGTTGCTAAAAGATGTTGAAATACATTTCATTATTTGGACAGAAATTTAACAATATCTGTGTATAGGTGT